TCCTTGCCCGATTCATTCTCTTAATACCAAAACAATTAAAATTACGTTTTACAGCAGACGTCCCTTATGATACGATTAGGATGAGCAAAGGTTAATTGCAATTGGATCTGAGAGAGAAAAACACTTAAAAGAAATAACTAGGTAGGAGATGTGTATTACTAATGGGAGAGAGGAGACCATTTTACAAAGGTTAGATAGAAATGAAGGAGCTTTCTATTCTAATCTACTGTCATCAAACTACAGCCATATTCTAAATAAATTCCTGAAAATGATTTGTATGTTGCCAATGACTCATCTGTATCCGGTATGTGTATATGTGTGTGTGTGTGTGTGTGTGTGTGTGTGTGTGCATGTAAATTGTGCAATATTATATATCTCATGCTTTTTCATCTTTTTTTCTCATCCCTGCAGGTGTAAGTACTTTGGAGTTTTTGTTGATAAAGATATTTTCTTGTGTGTCCAATAGAGTTAAAATTTTGCAGTTAGGAAAACTAGGGATGAATCAAATGAATGCACATTGGAATGAAAAAAAAATTGAATCTGTGCAAAAAAAAATTCAAGATTGTCTTGCAAAGTGGTCAGTTGCACTTCCTATCATTTTGTTAGTGTTTAGGTCAGTTCTTGATAAATTAAAAACTTAAGCATATTTAAGTTGTCTATTGCTACTTTAGCTCACTGTCAGTTTTTAAATTAAACAAGGCTGAAAACAGAAAATTCCCTGATAGATTTAGTCATAGACTGAGCAACAAATAATAATTTGAACTATGTGGATATCATAATATCTAGAATGCTGAGTCACCCCAGACCATAGCTTGACTAAGTGTACTGGGTATATCATCTTCTGCATTCCAGTAGTCCCTTCATTAATGGGGCTCAACAGAATCTTGGGGGCCTGATTCATCACATGTGTCATCTTTAGTCATTTACACAGATTGTAAGTAAAACACTAATGAATCAGAATTCCCCAGTCATCTTTCTACAATACCATTTGTCATTAACTTTGCAAGTGCATACCTACATTCACAAGCTCCTGCTGCTTCTGCATGCTAGTAGGGAAAAGTCAGGCAGAATCATCCCCAAAAAGGCTGTGTAGCCTCTTCCCTATGTCTTGTCACATTGTTCTACATCCTCCTGTAGATTCTTCCTAATTTTTAGCACATCTGGCTGTACCTACAATATTTTGATTGTCATATAAATAACCTGGAAAGTATTTCTATCAAGATTTGTATTGTAGATTATTTCTTTTGAACACTGATAAAGTTGTGAAAAAAATATTCAGGGTCATACTCAGATGTTTCTGCTGAATAATATCTGATTCCGTAACTAAAGCCTTTGAAATCAAGAGAATTATCAGTATACTATACAACCAAGTAAAGTTATCAGAATTTGGCTCTGGTGAGTTAAAAAGAGTGAATGAGTATTTAATAGGCAGATTTCAGCAGTGATATAGCATTGGTCAGAAATATAATGGCTTTCTGTTTTTTTTCAGTAGTTGGGGAACAGAAACTTCCTATCCCTAGTGTAACTGTCTTGCTGATGAAGTTGAAATTTGGGAATCCCAGGGCTTTCCAGGTTCCCATCTTGGAAGTCAGATCTTGCTGGTCTCCTAAGTGACCTCAAAACTTAGGGTAGAAATAGACATCTCCTGACATTTTATTTGTGCCCCCATAATAATTTTGATAGAGGCACAAATACCAATCAGATAGACATCGTTATCCTTTGCTGTGCCATATTAGTGGCATGACAAAAGGTATTAATAAATTGTGCTGCTTTGCAGCTAATATGTTTTTTGTCTGTGGTGGTAGAGTGTGAGCAGCTCAGAGCTGCTCACATTCTCCCACCAGCCCAGGCAGATACTCCAGGGGCTAGAGGTTCCAGGGCTAGAGGGACCCCAAGGGCTTCTCCCACCTTCACAAGCAGAAAAAACCTATGCTGGTCCCAGTATGGAGACATGAGACTGGAGGAATCCTGGGTGCCCCATGCTTCCATGCCAGGAACTGTATGACCCCGTGCCTGTGTAACCAAGGTAGTACCTGGTTATGTACTCCCCTCGCCAGTTGAAGGGAAAGGTTAGCAGGGCAGGTGAGTTGTGGGGTAAAACTGCTGGCTGCATGCAGTTTCCCTCCTTCCTCTATAGAGCCGAGCCAGGACACTCTGTGAACTTAACTATATACAAATTTATGAATACAATAAATCATAGGAAGGAATAGATATATATCAATACACTAAACATAGAACTACATACAAGATATATCTACAATCCTTTGCCACCACTTAGAATATAGGTAAGTAATATAAAAAATCCAGTATAAGGGTTTCAATAATGATCATACAATCTTAAATTCGATTAAACTACAATCTAATGCTGTAACTGACTCTGGGTGCTCGGGGGGTTCTCGTCTCCCCGGGTGAGTCACTGCCTCATCGAGGCCCCAGCTGCCTCAGGCTCTCTCTGGGCTGCTGGTCCACTTAGGGCCCTGTGCACCATCGTGTGCACCAAGGGCTCTGCCTTTTGGTCAGGGTTGGAGACCCGAGCCACTTTGTACGGCTCTGAGATCTTGATCCACTCCCGGACCCTGTGTGCAACGCTTTTGCACCAAGTGCCTGGTCTTATGCCAGGGGTTGAAGTCCCAAGGCACCTCAAGAGGCTCCCAGGGCCTTTGTCCCATTTGGACCACTCTGTGCACTAGCCGTGCACTACTGCCTGGCTTCGTGCCAGGGGTTGGCGACCCGAGCCACCTCGAGCCACTCCCAGGATCTCAGTCCACTCCTGGACCCAGCATGCACCGGCCTGTGCACCACTCGCCACACTCCTTCATGGTGGGTCTGGAGGACGTGGCTGCTTGTCGCTCCCCATCCAGCGAGGAGTCTTCAGGCTCTTCAGGGCAACAGCTTTGGCCCCCTGGCCAGCTCTTCTTCTCCCGTCCTCTTCACCATCCCTTGATGCAGCCAACCATGTGCTAGGCACAATGCTCTTTTATCCCCTCTGGAGGCTCCGCCCCCAGATTTTAAATGGACCAATCAGGAAGAAGGGGAGTGTAGTCCTCAACCAGATCCGGCTCTTCGCCTCACCCCAAAGAAGGGGTGGGGCAAGCCTTTCTCCTGCCTTCTCCTGATTGATGAAAGTGCCTCACCAATCGCTTCGAGTCCTTCCGAGCCAGCAAGCTGGGCTGTTACTGGCAAGCCCACCACACCTGCATGCTGAGACCTGCGCTGACCTGTGCCCCATGCAGAAGCATGAATCAGTGCAGGGGGGAGGGACTGGCAGGGAATGGTGCAGGAGCTGGGTAATGCCTGACACCCTGTGCCTCCATTCTGGAACCCATGATGACCCATGTCTCGAAGTGAAACTCAGGTCAGCATAGGTCCCAGCATGGAGGCACAGGGCACTGGGGATTCCTCAGCTCCTGTGCTTCTCCATACCACCCCATGGCAGCATCTGCTCTGACCTGTGCCTCTACATGAAGCCATAGATAAGCTTGGGTCCCAGCAAGGAGGCACAGGGCAGTGCTGGAGCCAAGGAATTTCTGGCACCCCATTCATTCCTACCAGGATCTGGGCTGACTCATACTTCAGGTCAGCACAATGTGATGCAGGTCCCAGTAGGGGGACACACGGCCCTGGGAATTCCTTGACTCCTGCATCACCATGTGCCTCCCTTCCAGGACCCATGCTGACCCATGCTTCAGGTGGTGGCATGAGTCAGCCTGGATCCCAACACAGGTGGCTTGAGCTTTGGGAAATCTTTGGCACCCCATGCCTCCTTGCTGGGACCTGTGCTAGCCTGTGCTTCACTCTGTGACATGAGTCAGTGCGGGTCCCTGCATGGAGGCACAGAGCATGGGGGATTTCCTAATTCCTGCGCAACACCATACTGGGCACCTACTCTATCCCATGACTCTTTGTGAGGAAACAGGTTAGTGCAGGACCCACCGTGGGGCAGCAAGGGACCAGGGGGGTCCCTGGGAAAGGGGAATATATTTCCCCTTGTCCTGCATTGGCCCCCTTCTCAATGCAGTGTGTGTGGCTCAATACAGTGGATCAGCTGTGGTAGAGCATATCCCACTATAGCTGATCTGTTTCAGTTTGATGATGTCTGTTTCTACCCGTAGATTCCAGGTTTCATGTAACTTCATTGGAAAGGCTCCTTCCAGGCTTTCAGTAATTCCTTAGTATGTTTGGCACGTTCCCAAAGAGCTGAAACTCCCAGGTCTTTCTGGTTCCTTGACAGGTCACTTAGGGTGACAATGAGGTTGGGCTTCCAGATTTCTAGAGAGTGTTGGTTGTTGTTTCAACTACTACTGTGGCATTTAACTTCTGAATGCATATGCATATGTATATATGTGTATATATAATGTGTATATATATGTATGTTTCCATGAAACACAGGTCAACATAGGTCCCAGCATGGAGGCACAGGGCACTGGGGATTCCCCAGCTCTCATGCTACTCTGTGCCACCCCATGCCAGCATCTGCACTGAACTGTGCCTCTACATGAAGGCACAGGGCAGTGCAGGACCCAGGGAATTCCTGGCACCATGTTCTTCCCTATCAGGATCTGTGATGAGGGAAAAAAAATTCTAAAACCTAATTTTTTTCCATGGAACTGAAATTCAGGTTCCAAGCCATATTAGATGCCCAGTATTTGACATGCATTTTAGTAAAACATTATCAAAATTCTAAAAACTAATTTTATATTGTTTAATATTGAAACAGTTTTATGGTTGATAAAGTTATAAAACTTCTAGTTTATGGATTGTTATCACTACCTGAGGTATAATTCCACCATGTCTGGAATTATACCACCTGGCATATCTTATTTCACTGTAAAGTACAAATCATGTATTCCACTGTATACTCTTTCTAGCAACTTTTACAATAACAAAACTATTAAAGGCTATGAATTTATATAAAATATCCTTAGCATTTTCATTTACACATTCTTTTCTTTTTCTCTTTATCTTTAAACCTTTTTTAAAAGATTTCTCTTGTTTAACAGATCCTGAAAGGAGATCTAGAAATGAAGAGACAAACCTTGAATAAACTGAACTCACTCAGCCAGGAACTGCTTGCAGCTATAAAAAATAAAGCAGTAGCTCAAAAGCTGGAAGGTTGGCTGGAAAATTTTGCCCAGCGTTGGGATAACCTTGTGCAGAAGATGGAGAGCAGTTCTAAGCAGGTTTGTCATAACCATGATTCTGTCAGATTATGACTTAACCCTTTTGCCAGTCATATGCCTGAAGTAGTTTTAATGCTGTTTGTCATATTTTCACTCTATGGTTACTTTAATAATGGCTTATTTTCTTATAGAAATTAACCACTGTAATTTAACTATTCAGAACATTATTTTCCACTTCACTTTTAATGAGGCTGTTTCTCCTTTATAGGTTATTTATAAGCAATATTTTTTACAATGTGTCTACAGTGTGTTCAATTTCATATAACCCATATGGTATATATTTTTTGAGTTTTTGGTTTGTTTTTATTCCATACAATTTGGGCACTCCCTCTATTTTGTGCTTTGTAGCTTCCTCACTAGAAAAAGCACTGTCTTAAATGATGGCTGAAGGCATTAGCTGGCTATACTCATTACTAGGGTTTACATAATCATAATTTTGTTTTTATTTTAATTAAAGTAGCTAAACTACACTAATTAAAAGAAGAAAGGACTCTTTGCTAAAAAATGAATAGCCACCACTTCTATCCCATGTTAATGAAAGTCAGCAGTGATAGCAAAGTTGCCACTAAAATCTCCTGTTTTCACAGACAATTCCATCTTCAATCTAAGGCCTTTAGCAAATTGTTGGCTTTACCAAGTGAATGGAATGGCAGAAGGGTTACATTTAAAGCAGAACAAAGCTGGGGAGGCAGTTCCAAATGACATGGAGCTACCCCAGCCACTACCTGTTAAAATGAGGAAGCTAAATAGAAGCATCCTTCTGATTTCTATCTATTGTAGTAACAGAAAGGGAGAGAAGTATGGAAGTTACAAGCTATTAAGGCTTTACAAACTTAAAGACAATACCTGTAAATCCACATGGAAACTAAGAAACAGCCAGTGCAGATAATGGCACATTAACATTATGTGTTTATAGCAAGATAAATCACTTATTAAACAGACTGTCAGATTCTGCACTGTAATTTCCAAATGATTTAATGTGTATCCCTGTGTAGAACCCATTGTAGCTGTCAATAAAGACATGAATCACAGTAGCAAATTCCATATCAGAGAGAAAAACCTGCAAGCTTTTATCCTGAAACAGATTAGTATAAGAGAATGGGGGGGAAAGGACCCTGCAAACATATCTTAGTTTCTTCTACTCTGTGGTTATTGAAAAGAAACTGAGGTTAGAAAATTTCAGAATTATAGAATCAAATGATAAATGTTAGACACCCTCAATAAACAAAGATAATATAATATTTTTTCCTCAAATTCTGTGGTTGTTTTCCTTAACCTGTCAACATAATTTCCTTCTTGTCTAGATTAAGCCTCTGCCAACTCACTTTCATCCATCCCCTTTTCTAATAGTATCATTGAAAAAGATGTTTAATAGCATCCTCCAGGTTTGAGCTATTGAGCCATGAACCAGAATACTTCAAATAATCCAGTTTAGCAGTATTATCATTCCCTTATATCACAGAGTGCCCTCTATGGGGGGATGCTTGCATGGGATCATGGTGGTATTGTCTGGTCTCTGAAAGTGTTCCCAGAACTAGCCCAGCTGTGGCTTTTAGAGCCGGAAGGAGCCCATCTCCTTCCTACTCTGGGACTGAGGCTTTTTGGCCTCTTGCCTTCCCTGGTTCTCTATACCCCTGACTCAAGTAGCTAGCATCCAGTTCTACTCCTGAGAAAGGGAGCCTACCTCCTGTTGAGGAGACCCAGAACAGCACAAAGTTTCAAGCAGGTAGCTGTGCTTCAATAATAGCACTTTTAGGGCAAAGCCAATCCTTTGAGAGGATCTCTGCCACCTTCCAAAAGGTTAAGCAGTTCTTCTATCTTCAGTCCCTTCCACACAGCCCAGTTCATCCTCAAAGATACTCAGCTGTTCCCTTTCCAGCCACTCCAAAACTCCCAAACTCACTCCAGACTCCCCTCCAAACATCTAACACCCACTTATTCACAGTCACCTCTCCATTGTTATGCTTATTAGGGGTGTGTGAAGCAGGCCGTATTTGATTTGGATTCAGTTTAGCCAAATCCAAATCTGAAGATTTGATGCTGATTCAGAGAATCAGCAATTCGGGCATAGACACAGCTTTAAAATTTTTTTCTACATACCTTGAGGTAGCAGGTGTGGCTCATGATCGCTGCAATGCTGGGGAATATGGAGAATTCCCCAGGAGTGCAGGGGGGCCCTCCACATGCTCAGCAGTGAACCCAGAAGTGGACTGGAAGTACTTCCGGTACACTTCCAGGTCTGCTGGGAGCGCACAGCACCCCCCCCCCCCCCCCCGCCCATGACCCTACCCAGCTCGGAAATCAGCCACAGGGGGACCCCAGGTGCCCTCCCGGACCAGGAGGCACCAGTCACCAAGCCAGGGGGGCGCAGGGAGGTCCCCCAGCATGCTCCCTAGTGGAACTGGAAGTGGATCGGCCATTTTTGGGTCTGCTGCTGAGTGCACTGGGGAGCCCCTGTGCTTCTGTGGGACACTCCATGCACCACAGCATTGCAGCACTCATGAGCCCCTCCTAACTAGAGGTATGTAGAGAAAACTTTTAAAGCTGTGTCTATGTCTGAATCACCGAACCTTTCCGAATCTCTCCAGATTTATTCAGAGGGTTCAAATTCAATTTGGAAAGATTAAAGGGTCCTCTGACTCCATTTGGATTCAGAGATTCAACCACTGAATCAGGCCAAATCTCCGCCAAATTGAATCAGGGACCGACGCTTCATCGTGCTGGGTGTGGGCCATCTATCTTTTGTTGATATGGCACCAAAGCTATACTAGAGGTCCATTGTGTCTTGTCCCACAAGGAGACAGATCTCTTGCTTCACTATCTTTTTAACCAAGTCCTTCCCCCTTGTAAAAGTTAGCCAAGGGGGAACTAAGGCATGCAACATTATTGAAACATAAACACAGTTTACACAAAACATTACAATAAAACCCATGGTTCATCACACTGTATTTGTATATTCATTCTGTTGGTCACATTTCTGCTGAGTCTTCAACATTAGTTATATTTGACAATAGTGTCACTTTAGTATATGCTCTCTTGCACAGCTTCAATGATAATGCTAATTACAAATGTATCAACCTTTTGGATTGCCTTTATAAGTACCATAACTAATAAAGGGAACCATTTAGCAGTGCATGTGAAAACTACTATGTATTAGAATTGGTTGAAAACTGCAATTCCTATTCAAGGGAAATCCTGGAATTTTTATTTCCATTACCAAATTGGACCAGAAAGCCAATATGTCCTTAGTAATGAAAATGACAAAAAATAATTTGAAACAAAGCTCTTTGTATTATTTCAGTAATATCAAGATGTTTTATCTTAATTAAAAATTCTGCTTGAATTTTGATTGTGATATGTGAATCAAAGCTAATAACATATACTAGGGCTGTCCAATTTTGGGGTGGCCAGGGCTGCACATGCCTCCTGCTTCCCCACCAGCAGCACACAGCCCCCTTACTCTCTACCATGTGGGCTATGCAGGTGGCACACAGACCCCTGGGCCCTCGCCAGCATGCAGCCTATAGACTGCATGCTAGCCCACCTTGGGCCATGTGTGACCCATGAACTGCCACTTGGATAGCCCTGACATATTATTTTTATAATGAAATTCAGATTTAATATATGAAAGTGGAAACAAAATCAGTCAAAATAATTACGTTGACATTTTTTTTACCTTACTGAAGCAAAATATTTTATTATATTAAATGTTTATGAGTCACATATATTTAGATACATTAATAAAAATAAGCAAATCCTTTGGGTTCCCTGGAACTAGGACTACGAAATAACTCCTCACAGTTCAGCTGAGTGAAGGCTAGAATAATTTGAAACCTTTTCCCTTCTATAATAGTTTACATTGGAAACTTATAAAGTCTAGTACATCACTGAAATAAGCTTTCATCAGTAAGTGGGAATATTATCTGCATCTTACAGAAACTGAGATGCAGATATGGTGATAATCACAAAACCTTTGTCTCATATTTTTTTCACTGTTGTGGCCTCAGAGTTGCTTCACCAGTGTCTACAATAATAGGAGCATAGACTGCCAGCTTTAGACTGACAGGGGTTCTTATCAACTTGTGAGCTATATCTGCCCCAGGACTAGAAGCCTGGGTATTCTAATGCTTCTACTGTTCTATTGAGTTTCAATATTGGGAGCAATGCACTTATTTAAATGGCCCATTGGTTTGAACACTGTCAACAAATGTGCTCTGAGCAGGTCTAAATGGCACCACGCTGAAAATACAGTCAGAAACAGATGGGCCACATAGGGTTCCCAAATTTGTTAACATCAGTGAGTTAGACCTAGTGTAAAGAATGGTGAGGAGCTTCCCAACTGTACCTCTAATGTGGACACCATCAGGAGCCAAAAAAAAAAAAAAAAAGCCACATAGGTAGGTGAAAGGAAAAATGAAAAGGTTTAAATAACAGGTAAAAGTATCTGTATGTTAGGATCTGTACATTAAGATATATTAGGTATATTGGGATAATTAAGAAAGCAAAGAAAATAAGATAGTAATATTGAAACTTGTGGGAAAGAAACACTATTTTTAGCTACAACAACTGTTCTGCTTGCAGGAGTAAATTTTCTGCTTTCTAAAGACTAACAAGGATATATTAATGGTTAGGGACAGTTCCAGGATTTTACATAGGGGATGCGGGAACAGCAACTGGTGCTGGAAGGGTGGCTGCACCCTTCTCGCTCAGCCTCTTCTTCTCTCCATCCAGCCGGGGTGACAGTTCAGTGGGAGAGTAGCCAGGGACTTAAATATTAAACAGCAAAGGAGGAAAAAAATGTCTCCCCTCCCAATCCCCTTCCTCCCATTCCCCTGTCCCAAGCTCCCAGTGCCAGTATCCAGAAGTGTAGTCATTGCATTCAGAAAATTTGAAGGCTTGCAATAATTTATGGCCATGAATTGACTCCAATGCATTTGGAATATATGAGAAACTTCTAATATACCTGTGTAAGAGTTGGGCTATGATCTGACTGACACCCC